CCTTCCCACCCCTGGTCCCTGTGTGAAGAAAGGACTGGAAGTGATCGCCACAATCTGTCAATACTTGAGGGGCAGAAGTGGTTGTGACCAGAGTGCTGACAGTGCAGACCATAAATATTAGCTGAATGTAATTAATAGAAGTGAGCAGATTCCAGTGTGGTTTTTCCAAAGCTAGTCTTTGATTTTATAACCACCCTGTGTAGTTCCTCAACCTTGAGGGGAACAGGCACATCCTCTCTGCACGGAAGCAGAGATTAAAGGAGGGATTCCCAAAGATGCCAAGAAACCGAATATCTTTTATAAGAGGGCATTTCAGGCTTACGCTGAGGACAGACAGGGCTGCAAAGAGGCCTCACTTCTTTTTCTGGACAAGTCCCAAGTGACAACAACCTTCTTCTGGACCCTAGAACGGGTCTGGAGCTCTAGGACAGGGCTCAGTGACAAGTCAAAGCACATGGGTACTATGTCTTCAGTATCCACAGCCTCTGGTCCCACACAATGAGCACATTCAACAGAAGTGGATGCCTTGGCCTCCTGTTATGAACATGGATGCAGAAAAGAAACTAAACATCTAGACTGCTGCTGGAGCAGCTTTGCAATTCCCTAACGGGGCTGAGGAACATAGTCACCTGCAGGCTTAATTCCTCCCCTTCTGGGTGAGAATAACAAACTGCTGAATCAAGTTCATCACTGCCTGATAAAAGTGTATTTTCCCAGTCTGGGTTTCCTCCTTTTCCGGGGCAGGGCTATGTTCAAGGACTATCAGGCAGGTTCAGAGCCCACATCCTTGATGTTTTCTGTTGTGTCCAAGGAGAGAAAATACAACTGATGAGGATTTGTTTCTTTCCACATCCTACTTTAACTCAGCGTTTTCTTCTTTTGTTGAATCCTGCTTATTACCAAATGGGGCTAAAGCTGAAAAAGAGGGAGTGATTAACAAGTCTGTTAGGTTCTGTTTGTATTCCTGTTGTGAAGGATAACTGGTCCTGGTTAATTATTGATTGTTTGTCAGTTTGTAATGAGATAGGTTCCCGCTGTGAAATGCAAGGTTGCGAGAGAGACAGGGAGAAAGAACCCTGAGGGAACAGTCAGTGTGTTTCTCCTTGGTTCATGCTCACCAGCTAACCCACCTCAGGGTTTATTGCCAGGCTTTACAACAAAGACAGGACTTTTCAGCTAAGACAAATCACAATTAGAGATGACTTGCTCTATAGAATGCTAATGGACAATGCACTGATTACATTGATGTCTCCATTCACAAAGCCTCTGAGAGCCCACCTGCTTCTCACAGTGTTGGTCTGACTGGGAGGAACCTAGAAGAAAGTTTTAGTATCCATAAGGTTGGGTCCCAGCTGGGGTAGGTGGAGGGGGAGAGGATGGAGAGAGAGTCTTCAGTATAACTCTCCACGACCAGCGTCAGGGGCAGGAAGGACACTCCCCTATGACTTCGTATATCCTGCTCTTCTGACAACGCTTGTCACTGGAACCCAGGACATTCTCTCTGTAGGCCACTTCAGCCCTGGCTTTGGGAGGTCTAAAGCCACACATGGGTTCTTTAACCCTGCAAGATCGCCTGGGAGTCAGTATTTTCTGTCTGAAAAGCATGAGGTCTCACTATCCTCTCTGGTCACAATCAGAGACCATGGCCATTAGAAAGAAACCCTTGACTCCCTTTCAATACCGCCAAGCTAGACAGTTATATATAGGATCAGTGGTTCAAAAACGCCAACCTGCCAAATGACTCCACTGTTTCCTAGTATCAGGACCACAGGCGGTCTCCTGCCAGAGTGTCAGGATTTGGCAGGTGCTTCTGGAATGCTCCGGGAGCAGGATTATGCAGGCACAAGCAGAAACAGCAGAAACTGCGCTACCAGCCGAGAGTGGCTTCTATTTTCGGGACATGTAGGCACTGACAGTTCAAACAAGGAAGGGATCTGGTGTTTTTGGATTGACTCTTGCGTTTCCAGGATACTGTGTCCTGAGACATTATCTGTTTCCCCTCCAGGGCTGAAGTGATTCTGGGGAGCATCATCAAGAAGAAAGGCTGGAGGTAATGCATTCACCATACTCATTTGATAGCCTTTTAAAAAAACTGTTACTATTTTGTACCAGAGAAGAGAAAATAAAGTTGCATGACAACTGACCAAAAAGACGGTCAGAAAATTCAATTCTTAGTAAAGAAATAATTTACAGTGCTTTGAAAGTAAATATTAGTGAGCTCACTACTTGCACTTCGAAGATTAACTTGTTGTTGATCACAATGAATTACCATGGGTTGAGCAGAGAATGTTCATGAGATAATTGTGCATAAAATAAAGTGGCATTTCATGGTTTTTGACTGCCCTGTGTGGTGATCTGGTGAAGGAAGCCAGCTACAGAACGTTAATTATCTCCATACGTGTATTTATGTGCATTGTTCATTTTATTAGCAACTCTGGATGCAAAGAAATGATGACCCAAGAAACCCTTGGGATAAATATCCCAAAGCTTTCTTGTCTGAGCCAGCATCTCTCCTGTGTGCTGGGAGCCCTATTATCTGGACATTCAAGAAAGTGCTTCATCTGCCCTGCCTGAGGGGTCACAGCATATCCTATCACCTGGTAGAGGCAAAGTAATAGTTATGATGGATGCTATAATGTTGGAGGGGGAGCGGCAAACCCTCTCCGTTTCACTACGCGTGTCAGCCCCAGTAGCCATTTCTTTTCCAGTATGAGTACAGACTCAGGCAAAGACCAGCAAAGACCACTGGTTAAATTGGAGTTCACTTCTGCTCTTGTATAAGATCTGCTGATAGCCAAATAAATAACAGATAACAGTTCTATAATAAAAGTGGAAACGGAAATTTGGAAGTTCCTGGAAATATGAGCAAATGAACTTTGGTGACCTACTTTCTCCCTTTCCCTTCCTCTCTTTCCCCACTCCAGGGACTGTAAGAGTGTGAAGAGAAAATTGTATTCAACCTTAAATACGGAAAGAGATTCCCATCCCCACCCAGTCCTCCACCTTGCCTGAGTTACCATTCCACTCAGAATGTTGACCCATCCATCACTGCTCAAATAGGACTGTATCCCTTTCTTAAGACTGCTGTAACCATGTGCCACAAACTGGGTGGCTTAAAACAACAGTAATGTATTCTCTCCGTTCTGGGATCCAAGAGTACAAAATAAATACTTGGTCAGGAGCATTCTCTTTCTGAATCCTTCCTTACCTCTTCCCAGCTTCTAGTGGTTGCCGCATTTTAGCATTTTGTGCATCAGAGCTGCAACTGTTCAATGCTGCCTCTGTCATATGATCTTCTCCCTTTGTGTGTTAGTGTCTTATGAAGGCATTAGTCATACTGAATAAAGGGCCCACTTTACTCAAGCATGACCTCATCTTAACTAATTACATTTGCAGTGGCCCTATTTCCAAATAAGCTCACATTCGGAGGTACGGGGGGGATAGGGCTTTAGCATATCTTTTGTGGGGGACAAAATTCAACCTATAACAGACACTTTGGAGATGAGTCCAGTAATGTCCAGTGAAATCAACAGCATGGTGCAGGCTGCCAGAGTTCGCCTGAGGATGAAGGGGAAGCTTTGGTGCAGTAACTCTCTTCCCGTCTGCATCCACAACACACTTAGTCATCACTCACCATACTTTGCAAAACTTCTTACATACATACCTTTTGGAGAAAATAGATTAACATGCATCTTTCACAAAATGCTTTTCAATCTTGCAAATAAACACTCAGGCTATCTCCATGCTGCAGAATATTGACATCAGGTCATAACAGTTCACAGCTGTTATGACATCAGGTCATAACAGTCCAACCTGAGGTTGTTGAGAAGATAGACCATTACATCATAGCATGAAGGCTGCAAAAGCAGGTTTCAACTAGCATCCTTGGCTTTTTGTCCCAAGACCACCACTTGCTAGCTGTTTTGTCCAGAGCAAGTTAACTTCTCTTTGCTGAGCCTCAATTTACCCACCTGTAAAATGGGTGGCATAACTGTTCACGGAGCATTGTGCTGATAAAGTGAGATAAGGTGAACAAAAGAGTCTTGAAAGCTGTGCTATATCAATGTGAAATCCTCATAATATCATTCTTCACCCACTCAGAACAGTTGCTCTAGATGCCCCCCTGAAGTCCATGATAATTCATCAGGTTGTTGTCTACTCTTATATTTGAAGATAAATATTGGTATGCACACCCACAGAGGCCAGACATTTTACAGAAAGCTTAATTTGGGAAAAATAAGTCTATGGTGGTCTAAGGGTAGAATGCATGGCTTTGGCAGGGCCAACTGCTCTGAATAATCCAGAAGGCTGCACTCATTTTTTAATAAGATTCCATCCAGAGCTTTTTTCTGCAGTTCTGAGAACACTTGCTGAAGGAGACCCAACTTCCCCATGGCAGATTGCTATTATACTAGGTATCACAAGGTTGATGGATTAACTTGGAAAGTGCATCAGCCCTTTTGGGGTATGTAATTTCCAGATGTATATCTCTGTAGACCTTCTGTTGGTGATTCGAATTACTTTTCAGGGAGTTAACTTCAGTGGAATAGGGTTACTGACATTTTCTACAAATTTTTCTTGCTGCAGTCAAGTTGTCAGAGTTGTCATCATCATTCCCCACTGGTTATCATTAATCATACTAGTCTTTCATGTGTAAGGGCTTCAGGCATTGACTCTACAGCTGACGGAATTAATAAATGCCTTATTTCAAATACTCTCGAAGTTCGGTCTTAACCTTTGAATCTCAAATGCTTTTTTTTCCCCTTGGCCAATTCAATTGAATCATACACCTGGAGAAATTACATTGTATTGAACTCTACCTCCCCATTTTAAATTATATGACTATAGTTCTCAAGACATATTTCATATTCCACAGTCACAGCAGTGCAATTGCGTTTCCTGCCCTTGGGTGTGGTTTTGAGGAGGTAATGAATTTGCTGTCAAGATTTCCACATTTCATTCCCTTAGGAAGAAAATAGTAGAAGTTTGAGTTAAGGATTTTAGGGTTGTTTTCCTAAAATAACATTTTCAATTAATAAGAAGTTGAATGGGAAGAAATGTTATTCCTATTTATTGATTAAATTTATTCTATTGCCATGTAGTTGGTACTTTCCTGTGAAGGCAATTGGTTGTATGACTCTTTCCAGTTGGTTGGAAAGAGTCATAATTCAGAGACACTAGGGTCCATGGTCTTTGGTAGGGGGTGTATGGAAAGTTCATGATCAATCAACACTATGTCAGATGCTTGGTGAGTATTAGTGGCTGTCTATTTGAGTTCCTAAAGCAGTCCATCCTTTACGTTTTTTTACTAACTCTTCTCACTTTCCATCCTGACTCTCCATGCCTACCACTCACCTTTGCTTTGCTACCACCCAGTCACCTGTGTGTTGCCACAGTCCTTCCTCTCCCGGGTCTTTCAAGCAAAGCTTCCTTCCCTTCAGATCTTTTTCTCTAGGATCTGACTTCAAGTCCCCAGTCATCAGCTTCCCTTTGTCCTTACATTTCAATGACATGAATGAACAAATTTATCCTTTCACCAGTTTTAAAATGTGAGGTATGGTAAATTATGTCTAGTGCTATAATAATAATATGACTCAATACTATGACCAGCAATTTTTAAAATATTTCTCTCTGTGTTTGTTCAACATACAGGAGGTCCAGCCTGGTCATAACAACCAAACTCTACTGGGGTGGAAAGTAAGTCAAATGTCTTTTCTTCTCTCCTTGACAAGAAACAACTAGTAGCTCATGCTTTGATCATTTTAGGCAACCGTTTTACATCTAACATACTAAAATTAATTGGTTTGGAAAGAAAGATTTTTTTTTTTCTTACTTGAAGGAAATAGCAATTAGCCCACGATTCAATTTTAGCAAGATACCCTCAAAGTAGTTTAGTGCAGAGCATGTGGTCACTTGTTACTAAGTGATTCATGGAGATTTTCAAATACCAACCTCATACTTAGAACCGTTTCCAAAATAGAGTTCAAATTTCAGGCAAAGAAAATAAGCACACAGCATCACAGAAGAAAAGCTACTTAAATCTGCCAAAACCCAGACTTCTACAGAAAACAGTGATAAAAATATCTTTCCTGGCCCCACATGTAAGTCTCTGATCATTTCTGCAGAGGTCTCTGAAAATGCTGATCAAAAGGACTATCTCATCGAAGAATAACAGGAAGCTGCCTGTATCACTTTCTGTCAGGGTAAATGAAAGAGTGGTCCTCTCCCTGTTGTGGGATACGGAACAAATTTCACAAGCTGAATTGGCTTCTGATGGGCTGACTGGTGTTTGAAGTGGTGCTTACATTATTCAGCAGGTCTTAGGAGACTGGCCTGTTTGACAAATATGTGAGAAAATAGCAGGCTATTTCATATACTTTTCATGGAAATCTCAAAGATTTTCATGGAGCCTCAACAAAAAAAGAAGACAAGTACAAACAAACAAAACCTTATTTACTTCCTTATAATTAATACAAAACAGTTAAAGATAAAATTGAAGGGGAATCTTCTAATGAAAACACACACTCATATTTTATTGTTGTTTTTTGAGTTTGTTTACGATGAATATGAAGATAGAAACATGGATTTTAGATTTTTATTCCTATTGTAGTCTATTAAAAAATAAAACCAATGGTACTTGTAAGAAATGTAGGTTTACATTGTGCATACTCTCATTCATGGTGCCATTGCTTGGTGCTTTTGCAGTGGAACTGAAAACCTTGCCTATAATTTAGAAATAAACAGGAAATATGACAATCTGCAAGAACCAGTATGTAGTGGAATACTACGTACAATATTATCTAATATACTTTTAAAAGATATAAAATCACCAAAGGTGAATGATAGACTACTGTGTTTTAAAAGGGGGCTGCCAAAGGTATTGATGTTAAAGAAATAATTCATCAGTACTTTAAAACTTCAAGGACCACATTTCTTTCTAATTGTCTAGAGTTTGAAAATGGTCTTGGCAGGCAAAAATCCTAGTTAAAGGTTTTTTTCTTGTTAGGAAACTAATTTAAGGAAGACTTAGTACATCACATTTTAAAAGAAAATAGCTGTTCATTTTCTTTTGAAAGGCAAAAGGCACTTTCAAATTTACTTCCCTTTTCAGAAAAGTCAATGCTATCAGTAGCCTAACAATCTTATAGTAAGCTCACAAACTGATGTCATTATTTTTTGGTTTTGTTTGGTTTAGGATTGGTTAAGAACACAGTGGGAAGGTTGAGCCATTTGTCAAGTATCAAATTATATATGGACAGGCATACATGGCTGACTTGTTATTTACATGGTATGATGACAGTGATGGTTAATTCATCTCTGGGGGTCTCCAAAGAAAAGCCTCTCAATGTACTGCCCACCAGTCATCTCTCCCCAACCTGCAGTGGTACAGACTTGCCAAGAACAAGGAATAGCATTAAAAATTCTGTCAAGAATGATTATTCTTTTGTACTTATGAAACAGCGATTTTTAAAAAAGCACACCCCACTCAAAGTCATTTGCTTCTTTTTCTTCTCAGAGCTGAAACAGAAAGAGGGTTGTCAAGAAAACATATTATTGAAGGTGAGTACTGCTGCTACCATTTTATTTTCATTTGTGGTTGCCAATTCAAGAAACATATCAACCAAATAAGTTCAAAACACATTGGAAGGGGGAAAAGTTTTTCTATGAGGACAGCCACAATCAACCCTATGTTTCTTCCTGAGGGGTGAAGTAATATACAGGGGAGAATGAGCACTCAAAAGAAGATGACTGGATTCTNCTGGCTATTATAAACAGTGCTGTGATGAACATTGGGGTGCACGTGTCTCTTTCAGATCTGGTTTCCTCAGTGTGTATGCCCAGAAGTGGGATTGCTGGGTCATATGGCAGTTCTATTTCCAGTTTTTTTAAGAAATCTCCACACTGTTCTCCATAGCGACTGTACTAGTTTGCATTCCCAAGTCTACAAGCAATAAATGCTGGAGAGGGTGTGGAGAAAAGGGAACCCTCTTACACTGTTGGTGGGAATTCCATAAGGTTTCTTAAAGTGTTTTAATGAGCTATAATTTATATACCATAAAAGTTTACCCATTTAAAATGTACAATTCACTGGCTCTGAGAATACTTACAGAGTATGCAGTCATCACCATGCTTCTGTTAGGTAGTTAGAATAGGAAACAGGAGTCCAGAATGGCGGTGGCTAAAAGACAAGGAAGGGAAAAGCCCGCAAAAATAGAACAAAGGCAGGTCGAGGACCAGAGTGAGGACTTCAGGTGGGACAAACAGCACTCCTGGCTAGCCCAATTTACACAGGGCAGGCCCAGGGGTGAGGAAAAAACACATGAAAAGGAGCCAAAGGGCTGCGGGGGTCTCTCTTTCTCCTGCGCGCACGCACACATTCTCTCTCTCTCTCTTCTCTTCATGTCTTTTGGGTTGGCATGCCCCCACACCTCGAGGATGTATTTTCCTTTATTTTCTAAATAAAACTGAGGGAGCTATAACAACTGTCCGAGAGCTGTGACATGCCGGAGGCTTTAATGTCCATCGCTTCAAATTTCTGTTGAGACGAGACAGAACCGAGGAGATCACACTCCCCTGACACTTTCATTTTAAAACACCTTCACATCCCCCAAAGAAACCTGATACCTACTTACAGTCGCTTCTTATCCCCTCCTTACCCTCTCCCACAGGCCAGGCAACCATCAACCTGCTCTTGTCTCCATGGATTTACCAATTCTGGACATTTCATATAAATGAGGTCATATAATATGTAACATTTTGTTACTGGCTTCTTTCACTTAGCATAAATTTCATCAATGTTGTGGTATGTATCAGTATAAATGAAAAAAATGTTAAAAGGGGCTGCCATGTGTTTCTTTACACTAGTTCATGAACTATTTCATAAAAATTCAAGATTTTTATACCTTTCTATTCATAATTAATCATTGAGACAAATGATTTTTCTTCTTTTTAAAACTAATCTCACTTATGAAATACTAAAATCACTCCAAAAAACATAAGATGTACTCTAATCCCACTACTTTAAAAATAAAACTAAAAAAATAAATTCCTCCCTTTCCTCACCTCATCCCATTCCATAGTTTCACAATCCAGTGCATATCCTTCCTTACTTTTCCCTCTAGTTATACCAACTTCTCTCTCTACCTGCAAACACTTACTTATAAGCACAAAAATAATGTATTGATTACTAACTGGTTTTAGTATATTTATAGGCATCTGGGTTTTGAAATCAGATGAACATTGGTTCAAGTTCCAACTCTGTCATTTATGAGCTGGGGTACTTTGTAAAAGTTATTTAATCTCACTTAGGCTCATCTCCTGGACTATAAAATGGGCTATAAATATCTTGCCTCACAAGGTTACTGTTCAGGGATTAAACTTAGATTATTCACATAGAGGACAGTGTCTGTCATATAATAAGCACTTAGTAAATGTTACTTTTGTCATCATCATCACCATCATCATTCTTAATGCACCTACTAGTGTTGCTTCTATGGATAAGGACACTAAGTAAGTAACATTCTGAAACTACCACAATGAATGACCACCTTCTAGCTCTTGAGAAAGCTTCCAAATTCCTCACTCACACAAAATGCCTTCTCAGGTCACATGTCCAGTTTGACGTTGTACAGTCAAACCCAGCCTTCCTCCCCAAACTGTTACCATTCCTGCTCTAGTATTTGCCCCAGTGATGTATGTCATCTACCACAAAGATTGTCAACAAGAAAAAAATCCAAGTCTTCAGCTTGTTTACCAAGCTGAACAGATGTGGTGGCAGTGTGCTGCCTAGAAAGTTCTTGTTTTTCATTTCTTTCTGATCTTTCATTTCTTTTGATTCCAAAAGAGATTCAGAAAGTGGTTTACAATAGCAAGCAACAAAGAAATAGAAAATCGATGAGAAAAAGAATAGAGAAGTTGTGCTAGTGTCTTTTCACTGGATCTTCGTTGCTTTAATATGTACCAGTGTCTATGAATAATTTCAGAACTCTTTTTCTCTCCTTTTTAAGTCAGGTTCCTTCAAGCCTCATACAATTTAATAGAAATACCTTAAATTTTCTCCCCCTTTAAATAAGTTGGGAATTCTCTTAAGGAACTAATCTGTCAGGATGGATAAACCAGTTCAACTGAAATTCAAGCTGACCCAGATTCAAAATAATACAAAATTTCAAATTTTTCAGATTGAAGACGAATTGAGATTAATTATTATAATGTTCTTACTGTTGGTGTTATTTTGCAGTTTACAGTGTCAGCCAAAGACGAAAATACTCTTGAGTGCAGGAGAGTCAGCTCAAAGGCTATTTCTAGGCAGACTGAAATTAGGAAATTGAGTGAATTTTACAGGAAAAAAAAAAGAAGGGACATGAGATTTCTAGACCCAAAATAAATTTTGAAGAGGTTTACAAATCATTATCCTCAGGGTTCACTGGGACTTGTCCTGTGATGAAGGTGACTTTATTCAAGATTGGAGTTTCACATGCACATTAAGTTTGAGAAGTGCTTTTGAAGAATGAGACAGAAGTCCAGTTCTTGTAAAGCTCAGGCCACCTGTGTGCTGGATAACCTTGGCTACCTAAGTTAATTTTTAGAGTATAAATTAGTTTAATTTGGGTATAATGCAGTTTTGAAAAAAAATCTATGAAAGAACTTTTCAACAAGCCCTAAGTCCTTGACTTAGATCAGTTAGAAACAACATTCTCCTTAGATTCACAAGGAAGGAGTGAATATATTCTATACTCCTATATTCATTTGGAATATTCTATACTATATTCATTTGGAATCACAAGATCCACTCAGGCTCTGAAAGTCTACTTATTAATTAGTCATTCCACAAATATTCATTAAACTCAAATTTGTGCCAGTGTTAAAATTTAGCAGATCAAAGCTCTTTAGTATCTAACATGAAAGAATGGAAATAGTTTGGTAAATCAAATTGTAATCATAAGTAAAGTGTTTATTTGCTTTTATAAGCAAAAGCCGTGTCTGTCTATATTTGCCTTTCAGGTAAGCAACAGTTTTGTTATGTGATTCAAAACACTGTCACTGTTTTAGGAGTAGGAGAGGAAAAATATTTTTAAAAGCTCCGCTTAAGACTTTTTAATGAAGGGCAAATGTCAAACCCTACAATCTGCACTTGTTAAAAAAGAGACAAGTGATAATTTTCAATTAAAGAATAAATTTCTTAACAAATGGATTCACTACAGGGCTCCTTTCTGATGTACCATGTTCATGGTAAATTGAAATCATCCACCCCAAATAATCATGTTTCATAATGGGAAGTGTAGCCACTTATTCTGATACAGGACAGTCTTTTTTAAGAAGATCAAATCATGACTGAAGGTCTGACGAGAAGAAGCTGGAAAATTAAATGGAGAAGCAGTGTACATTATTTAAGGCAACATCTTTTTTCAAGCCTGACAGGAAAACAAATATGCCATAGGAGTAGAAGATGATGACACAGCATATTTGAACAGAACCCTTGCAGAATTTCCAAACTACTCATGGCCTTATTTCTACAGAGTTAAACCTGCCACAGTGAACACATGACCCACTTCTAACCTTGCCAACCTGCTTAATGTCTGAAATGAGCATATTTCTATAGATGCCTGTGAAATAGATTTAATTGAATTGCTCCACCTTATGAACAATGCAGTTCCTGTTAAACTTCAGAACCTAAAAGGGAGATTAACTTCGATTTCTTTTTATTATAGTCACTTGAAAGCTATTGTCTTTACATAACATAATTTATCCTCCTGTGGCCTTCTGAGGAATTTCCAGTTAACTTCTAGACATTTCCTTGAGAGCAGGAAACGTTTTTCCTGCTCCTTTTTTCACTCCCACAGATACTGTGTTAGTACCAAGTTACAGGCTAATGTCAAAAGTGCCTTCTCGGACTTCCCTGCTGGTCTAGTAGCTAAGGATCCACCTGCCAATTTGGGGAACATGGGTTCGATCCCTGGTCTGGGAAGATTCCACAGGCCATGGGGCGACTAGGCCCACACACCACAGCTCCTCCGCCCGTGCTCTGAAGCCTGTACTCAGGAGCAAGAGCAGACACTGCAAAGAGAAGCCTGTACGCTGCAGCTAGAGAGGGGCACCTGCATGCCACAACCAGAGAAAGCCTGAGCAATGAAGACCCAGAATGGCCAAAAGGAAAAGAAATGAACAAATAAAAATTTAAGAACCAAATTGCACTTTAGCAAGTACATTCAGTGCCCGGGAGCACTTACGTCCTCAGCTTACGATTAGCCGTGGGGACTGGGTGCTCCTCTGGAGCCAAGGTTAATGCCTTTTCACACATCTACTTAGAACAATACTTGGCCCCAAGTCAGAGCTCAACAAACTTTTGCTCCGTGGAAATAGAAGGTGACTATTTGTTTATTGGAGATAAACTCTAAATGGCTCTCAAGGAGACACTTGTTAGCAAGCCTTTATGTTGCTGCAACTTAGCTACAAGACTAAAGCATCCAAATAGAAAAAGGCAGGACTACCTGATTTGTTTTGCAGTCACATGAAGAATGGAAACAGAAAGATCATCCAGCTCCATTTTGTGTTTGGAAAGATGAGAAGACTAAACGCCAAAGGGGCTAAAAGACATTGGCAGGGTCATTCAGACCCAGCCAGCGCTGGGTTCCATGCTGTGACACCTGCACCTGCCCCTCTCCTCTGAACGCCAGACTGGCCCATCCAGCTGCCAAGAGCGCCGTGGGGTTGACCGACGTGCTGTTCAGACCCAGCGTGGCTCCCGCCACGGATATGTTTCTCCTGTGACTTCATTTACTAACAGTCACTTCATTTCAGGCCAAAAATCTAAGAGTCCTCCTTGATACCTCCAGCTCCACACTCCGTATTCAGCACACCTAGAGTCCTCTTCTGTCTACCTATACAACTTGTCCTGAACACGAACACTTCTCACCAACTTGGTCCACGCGAGGTCTGCTGCTGTGACCTCCTTCTGCTCTCCTTCTCTGCTTTCTCTCTGGCCCCTCACGGGTCACTCTCAGCAGCCGAGTATCAGTTCAGAACACAAATCTGATGACATCATTTTCCTGGCTTAACTCTCATTTCCTTACCCCCTCACCAACACTCTGCTGTCTCACGTGGAGTAAACTGCAAAAGTCATACCATGACAAGGCTTTATGTGATTAACATTTTCAAAGTGAATGGACTGTGCCTTTTAGGAACACAACCTCTTTTTACTTCAATTCAAGGTCAGAGTAGGGACTCGCTGGATCACTGACAGGATGCAACCCATCATTTCTTATATTCTTATAAGAATACTCTTGACTCTTGGCCTAAATATTAAAAAATAATTTAAAAAAAAAGCATTTCATAGAAAGAACTGAGAAATGAGAAATGACTGAATATAGAGAATATTGTCATTATATCAAGTTCAGTGTCATTATTTATGGATACACACTATTACCTTGAACAATGAACCTATACCAACAAATGCTCTCAAAATGTACTGTTTGCTCCATAAGTATAGATACTACATCCATGCATCTTTAAACACCCAGAGACTGCCACAGTTTCAGGATCAAATTGAGACTCAGTACATGTTTAGGACACTGAAGAAAAAAACTTACATCATCACTGATCATACCTCATTTCAACAGGATCAAGTTAGTCATAGTTTTTCTCCTAGTTACTCTTAGCCCTGGCCAAACTGTTAAGAAGAGACACAGAGGTAGAAGACCATCATCAGAAAGGAGAACTTTGCTTCCAGTGCCAGGCATGGGCCAGAACTGTCAGTGATGACTTCCTTTTCAAGCAAGGAGGTCCAGTGAAAATCTTTGGCGTTTAGTCTTTGGCACCGCTTATCCTGAACCTTTCCAGATGTGAGCACCACTGTTATAATTAACTCACTTCTGTAGACTGTTACACTTATCAAGTGCTTGCCAACTGATTTTATTTGCTCTCTGGAGTGGTGATTCTGAAGGTTATAAGGATTGTTATCTCCACTATAGGTTAGAGAACCGAGTCACACAAAAAAAGTCAAATAACTTTGTGGGATAGCAAGTGGGATCACATGCTAGAGAACAGATTTCCAAACTTTCAGACCTTGGGATACCCTGTTATTTGGGCTTCCCAGGTGGCACTAGTGGTAAAGAACCTGCCTGCCAATGCAGGAAACATAAGAGACCTGGGTTGGAAGATCCCCTGGAGGAGGGCATGGCAACCCACTCCAGTATTTTTGCCTGGAAAATCTCATGGACAGAGGAACATGGTGGACTGTTTGCTTGGTTATCTTTTCCTCTCCTTCCTCCATACATACAACTGCTTCCAGAGGGGGTTTGTATCATAATGCTTTTCAAGGTAAATTTAATTTCAAGATGCCCATTGAGATTGCTGGTAATACCCCGAGCATGAAGGTCACCACAGTTTTTAAGGATAGGCATTAGACCTTCCCTTCCAATACCTGTCTGTCCTCATCTCTTCATCAGGGCTTCTATTAATAAGCTGCCATCACAGACAATCAATCCTTTCTCAATGAATGAAAAAATATTCCGGAACTGGATTCAAGCACTCCATTTTCCTGTCAGAAAAGTAATTGCGGCTGGCCAATAAACCAGTTTGAAGAATCAAATTTAAATACGCCAGATTTAAATTTGTAAGAGCTTCATTTAACGTGCAATTAATTTTATGCCTATAATAAAAAGAAAAACCTCCAGTCTTCCTGTGGAATTAAATAGGCTGATAAGGAAGTGCTGTGCCTCTTAGAAATGAGATAAAGTAATTCTTGAACACTGTCATCCTTTCGGTTGCATAATATTGTATACAATACATCCTATTTCGGGGAAGTATTAATTTTACTGAAATTAAATTTTTTTTTCTGAGTAATCATAGGAATGTGATTCAGTGGTTAGAGTTGAGACATAGATTATTGGTTCGACTTGTTTTAAAATTCTAACTCTCTCCTTTATATTACCCCTTAAATCTTCAGAGCTTCTAGTGGTTTTGTTTCTTCTCAAAATAAGGGGGAATAATAGAAATGGTAGGACTCAGCTATATTTAAGGTTCTCCAAACTTTGTTTCAATTAGTAAAATGTTGAGTGAAATCTTCATTTGCCAACCCTTTTATTCCTATTAAAACCCATGTGTACATTAAGATGAGATTGTCAGTCATTTATTTGTGATATACACAATTTTAATGTTTTGGATGTGCAGTAAATATATCTCCATCACAATATGAGCCCATTAAGTAACTCAAAATGTGAGATTAACTTGCATTTTTCAAAAAGAAAGAAGTTAAACTTTTAGGCTGCTCTTTTGTTCTAAACTTTGCTTCTAGCTCAGCCACACAGGAGCCACTGAGAAAGGTCATTTCCAAGTGTGGGTTTAGCACTGGTGCTGCTGAGAAAGTTCTAAGGCTTTTCTTTGCTGGGGACAATGTCAATCCTTGATGTATTTTTAAGGGGTTCTAGGGGCCAATGAACACATCACTGTATTCAATGTCTTTTTGAAACTAATCCAATTTTTTTTTTTAAGTAAATTCTTGCAGGAAAGCAAACTTCAGCAATTTCTAATATGGCTCATGTTTAATTTAGACTTTTTGAGATTTTTTTCTGCTTCTGTTCCCAGGACTGAAGGGCTCCCTCCAGAGGCTGCAGCTCGAGTATGTGGATGTAGTTTTTGCAAATCGACCAGACAGTAACACCCCCATGGAAGGTGAGTGAAGAAATTTAATAAAAGACCCTAGAGTTATTGATTCTAACTTGATGACTTTTTCCACTCACGGTAGGAAATGAAATATATTCAGACTTATTTGATTGAATGTGAAAAATAAAAACCCTTTCCGGTCGATCTTTCAGTTTCAATATTTACCCGCAAAGTTAGTGCTCTGCATCCTGCATATTCATTAATTTTTAAGCATCTGCAGGCGTTGGGAGTGTGTGTGTGCGTGCAGGTGTGTGTCAGGAGCTGAGTTGTGTCCGACTCTTTGTGACCCCGTATACAGTAGCTCACCAGGCTCTTCTCTCCATGGAATTCTCTAGGCAAGCATACTGGAGTGGGCTGCCATTCCCTTCTCCAGGGGATCTTCCCAACCCAGGAATAGAACCCGGGTCTCCTGCATTGCAGGCAGGCTCTTTACCAGCTGAGACACCAGGGCAGCCCTCACTGGGAGTGTGGCTCCTGCCATTATGGCACTCATTTTCTCCAGGTTCGTTTCACTCCTGTGATTCCATCAACTAAAACAATAAACCTAATTGGAAGGGGAGTTTATAACCCAGCCATCATTATTTTGGAGTTCTCTGAGGGTCTTCTTATTTTATAATGACTCTAGGTCTGATTAGTTTCCAATCTGTGATGATAAGTGCTAAGTGCTATCTGAGCAGAGACTTTATAGGAGTGACTATTTCAAAATGAGACTCTTTGTTGCAATCTGGTTTTTGAGTCTCAAGGAGCTGCAGTATTTTATCCCCTTTCTGTTACAACTGTTTGAAGACAATTTAAGCATCTCCCTGTGAAAGCTTTCAGAATGTTCCTAAAACCAGGTTTTCTTCAATTTGTGTTTATTTATGGAACCAATTGAGAAAGAAGACAGTTTGGGAGGAAAAATTTAAAGGAAGGTTCTAGTTAATTGAGATTTATGCTCATATGAATTTTCACATACCTGAGGTAAATGAGAATGAAGATATTTGGGGAAAAGAAGGGAAAAAATAATATTTTGATTATTCAAGGCTTACTATATGACATGGCTTTATAAATTTTTAATGAATTAGAACATAATGTAAAATTACACTAAAGGTAAATTTAATTTTGATGATTCAAAAAGTAGTTCTGGATCTTGTAATAAGTCGCGTTCTGTAAAAGTTTGTTCTTGCTAGAGGGTTATAGAAGTTATGGAAGCTGTAAATGATTGAAGTATATATAAATGTTTCTGTAGGTTGAATTTCTGAAAAAAAAGTTATGGAAACTTTTTTTCCTTATCATGTATCTCTTTCTCAACAACAAGTAAATGGTTAAAATATATATTTATATATCTTATTTTTTGCTAGAGTTTTCTGCTTTTTTAATTTGAGTAAATTAGAAGCCTGTTATAAAGCAAGATCAGTGTTGGAAATTCATAATAAGAAATTATCCATGGAAATGACATAAAATGCATATTTTTGTCAAAGCAAAGAATAGGTGTTTGATAGTGAATCATAAACAGTTTATTTATGTAAGAAGTATGTATAGCAAAGATAGTATGATGTCACAGTATTCTTAATGCCACATTCAAACACAGCACTGACGCTGTCATGCGAGCATAATTGTCAAGTAAGATGCCATGCAGTGGCAGCTCTTAAAGACTGAAATTACTTCCCATTTTAAGTGCCTAGTGAACTATTTTCCTCTTAGGAAAAATGTTCTTTGCAATTATGCTATGTACAGGATAGAGGAACACTGGGATTTTTCAGCATTTTTTTTTTTAGCTCATTCTGCCCATTCTATCATTATCTTTAATCTGAGGGATATAAAGTATAAATCTTTAATCTGAGGGATATAAAGTAGAAGTCTCTGAAGCAGAAAACATTATAATCTGCATTATATACCTAAGGAAGGAGGATATTCTCAATTAGGAGACAAACTATGTGATACTAATAAGATAATCGTGTCTCTTGTATAAACACAGATTATGTGTTGACATTATTAGAAAGGAGCTTGAAAACATTAAAAAAAACACAAACAAACAGATTGCTGCCTGATAGAATGTATAACTGCAGCATTATCCAGCCTCTGCTGGAATCAGGGAATATTTATACTTTCTCTGAGTTTCTTACAGAAAATTCCACAAAGCAGAATAGGAAGCTGTTTTATCATGAGTTATTGTCCAAGTTTGGAAGTCTAACAGAGGGTGTCAAATAGAGATTTGCACTTGTTGATAGGGTCAAGGAACATGGCATTTCATAGCTCTGTGGCAACCAGCCACTTAATGCTGGAATAGAGCCTGCTCTCCCTACCCCCGCCAAAGGGAGATCCACTCCTGGCTGGTGCATCAGACCCAGGGCTTATTCCTCTGGGAGTATTTAGCAGGACACACGGTAGGCAAGTCTCCATGTGGGACTCGTTCCAGATTGAAATAGTTTCTCTGTGATGTCTCCCTAGCTTTGTAGAAAGTGTGTATCTTCAAACAGTATACTTATTTGTTCCAAGGTAAGCCAGATGGAAGGGCTAGTTTGATATTAGTCTCTAGAAACTCATTCTCCACATTTAGTCTTTCCCACTTAACTGTAACAGAGGGAAGGACGGATCTGGGCAACTGAGAGAAGAAATAGAATAAAAAGAAGAAAATAAGGAATAGAATCGACAGAGATTTCCAGGTGATCTTGGGTGCATTTTCTCCTCTAAAATGGAAAAAAAAAAAAGGTGTCTAAGTTATGTCTGGACTCCATGTTGTTATTCAGTTTCATTTTTGCAATGATTTTGTAAATCATATGTGTGTGTGTATTACTGAAATTGTATGTGTACAATGGGGTCTACCTTAGGAAACCTATTAGGGTTTCTAAAAACAATACAGAAAAGTAAATGTTACATATAATCAAAATTACCCTTGAAAACCCTATAGTAGCTATAGTAGTTATTTGTTAAACAGTGTTACTCAATAGCCTTTAGTTATTCAATTTCATCTCCAAATATAGTGACAAAATCATCACTACTTTCCCAAACATGTTTTTTTTTTTGTTCCTTTTGGCAATGGCCTTAATATTATTCACATACTTTTCTTATTTTAGCAACTCACATTGGCAATTTTAGGCTCAGTTGCATCCATTTCTGTCTAATATAATGATGGAACAGTGGTTTCCAAGTGCATATTCCTGGATTTTTGTATATTAAGTCTATATATGTTGGCACTATTGTCTATATGTGTGCTTCACAGTAAACCCTTAGCATTTGTAGATCATCTTTATTGGTTTCAACCATTCCTTGTCAATTCCATGGACCCATAACACATCCTAACTTATAATTTTGCCAAGGAACCTATATTAAATTCTGGGGAACCAATGAGAGAACACAGACTAGCTTTCTAAGACTCATTTTAAACAACTTTGATTTAAATTTATTAAAGTGCCAACCCCATTCACTTGATTCACAACTATGAAAGGATATTAAGTGGGAACATTTCTAGAATAAACCTACGTGAGTTTTATCTAGGTTCTGCATATCAGATGGAAGCAACTGAACCAGAGAAAAATTAGCAGTAGCAGTCTCATAATATTTTAGCATCATGGATCAAATTAGATGTTGCCTTCCTTTCTTCCTTAGAAATCCAGTAGACAGAAATGAGTCCTCTCAAAAGAATGGCCCTAAACTCCAAAAGTGCAATCAGTGGAGAAAGAGGGTGAGATTGCCTTTGTAGTGTGCAAGCCTGTGGGATGCAATTAGACATTTTACAGCTACGGGAAGATGTTCTTGACAACAGAGGGGAACTTGTGTGCTTTCCCCTCTGTCCTTCTTGTTTATTTTTTTCTGGTTCACCTAGTAGTAAGTCTTTTTTTTTTCAGAGCATCTGCCATGCCATCTGTCTCTTATATATATCTGGTGTTGATGGCATGTTTTCTAATACCAGAAAAAATCACCCCCATGTCCCATTGCTTCTTTCTTATGCTGCTGTGTTCTTCCCAGTAGAGTCACTGACAGGTCCTTGAGTTTCATAATACTCATATTTTTAAGTCTCTCACTTCCATAAATCCCCCAAGTATATTTCAAAATCTTAAGCTCATTAGGCAAGAGAAAGTTAATTCCATCATGAATCATGTTGGACATGGATAGACACAGAGCATTTGTGTGCCTGGGGACTTGCATGAGGAATTTTTCGGTGTGGTTTTTCAGTCATTCCCAAGGGCCAGACTACTCATCCATACTCTTCTCATTGCTCTAGGGATGAGGTGACTGAGCCTGATTGTGGTCATGAACGGAACTTATAAACCATGTACCACTTGTGAATAATAGAAAAAAGAAGGGACCCATTTTAGTGCTTTTTGAAAGAAGAAAAGCTACTAAATTCATTGATCTGAGAATATTATGATGTTTTAAATTAAATTACATTTTAATTAAATTTTTATTTTAAAAAATGCTTGGGATTGAGCCCTACACCTTTTATTTATTTAGAATTTTTTGCCAAAACTAGCTAATCTTACCAACTCCCTAAGTCATTAGATGCTATTCCCAACCTAATTAAGGTTCAAATTATTTATTTATTTTCCTGCTAGTAGGTCAATGCAGACATAAAACAACCCAGATGTCTTATTTCAAAAAAGAGGGACAAGATCAAAGTTAGCATTGCTTAATTCCCATAACATCGTCATGTCAAACAACCTATTCCGTAAGAATGTGACATCTTTTTTACTGTCCCCATGTGCCAGCAGGAATCTATTGATATTCAGCAAACTAGGACACCCCTCCAATGACAGTGCAGGAAATACCAGGGTGGCAAACATTTCAGCATCCCAAATTTTCTATGCTTTTTCAGTTCCAGAACATTGGACCTGGATTTTTAGCATCCAAAGTAAAGTTTTCAGAACAAAAATTTAATGACTCCCCTCACCAAGCCTAGAAATGGGGCTTCTCAAGTGGCACAGTGGTAAAGATTTCGCCTGCCAATGCAAAAGACCCAAGAGACGTGGGTTTGACCCCTGGGTTGGGAAGATCCCCTGAGGGAGGAAATGGCAACCCATTCTAGGATT